GCTGCCCATTGAGCAGGACCCAAACCCACGCGAACCCCTGGCAGGAGACAGCCAGGAGGGCAGCCTGGGCACAAGGCTTTGAGGACAGAGTGTAAGAAAACCTGGGAGAGGCTCTGGGCAGCTCCTGGCATCTCTGTTCTCTGCTGCTTCCACAACCAAAGTTCTGTAAACCATTGAGAGGCAAAAGGGCCACAGGCTGAGGGGTCATGGCAACAATTTCAAGCCCTTCTAGTCCCTGACTGTCCCAGCAGAGCTGGGAGAAACCACAAGGAAAAAGCCTTTCACAGAAAGAGCCCCCAGTTTACATCTTTCATAGGGGAATTCACATCCAGTCCTTGTGCGTGGAGGTGCAGAACAAATTCTGCTCTACTTCTACACAAGATTAATTCCAAGTTTTCATATCCAGCAAGAAACAAACAGTGTGCCCCAGCTGCAATGCCCAGAATAACCATGACCACCTACCTTCGGGGAAAGCACTTTAATCAGCTCATTCAGAAACCTGAACTTCGCTATTTCGTGGTGAAATCCTTCACCGCAGTTATTCACACAGGTCTCCAGCACCTGCAGAAAACAGGACAGTGCCGAGCAGAAACTGCACACACGGCTCTTGGGCAATTGTTAAAAACTTTGCCATTATAATACTAAAACGAAGAACTTTCTGGCACTGCATTCACAAATAAGATACTGAGGAAGCTGTGCAGCAAAAACATGTATTTTTCCTTCATCCAACTGTCTTAAGCAGCACATTTAAGACCAACTGCTCTGTTCTACCCATCGCTAACAACTTCTGGGCCACCGACCCTGCGGTGGGACCACAGGCTGAACAGCCCGAGCTGCAGAGCACTGCAGACCTCAGCAGAGCGACACGGGAGGGAACACGAGCAGTTAGTCCCTTCGTTACACCCTGGTGTCTGTATTCCTCGTGCAATGGAAAGTCAAAAGGGAGACATCAAAGAGAAGAAGAAGAGACAGCTACACTGTCTCTACCCCCCGGACTCTGTTTCCCAGTTCCTGCTGCCTGTGGATGAAAGCACTTACTGTGAGAGCGTGGAGAGCTTCCGTCTCCTGCGGGGACTGTATTTTGTGTGCCAGCAGCCTCGGCGCGAGCGATGGGCTGCGGAGCAGGAGAGGCGAGTCAGATCCCGGGAAAAACAAACGCTGCTGATTCTGCCCCGCAGAGACGAGCAGCTGCC